GACTGATCCATCTGACCTTCCCATGCCAGGCCCTTAAACAAGCATGCTCCCTAACTCCTTTTTCTTTAACTCTTGTCTGAAGTGAAGTGCAACACCTTTGGAAAATTGTGGGGCGTCTTGGAAAATGCCTTTGGGCGTGGTAGCCCTGGCTGTCTTCCTCTTCTCTAAAATACTCGGGTTGTGAAGTCAGGAATTCGTGCGAAGTCAGGAATTCGCAACTCAGGGAAAGAAGTAGCCTTTGTTTGACCCTCTGTGCTCACAGTAGACCTGTATAGAAGCAGCAAACAAGTGAGGAGCAGGAAAAGGCCAGAAGCTGGAAGAGGCAGAACATAGAAGAGGCCAGGTTCTGCCCAGTGAACGTGTCTTTAACACAATGTGCGCAGGAGGCAGATGGCGGCCTGCTGGCCCAGGGCCTCAGGGCTGGTGATTTTCACATGCACCCAGACGTGTGGCATGGGGTCCTCCCCTGCAGCTGCCCCTCTCTCTGCTGGGCACCTGGGTTTCAGCTGGCCCCTTGGAGAGTGGGCAGTGTCGTGACAGGTCACCCTTGTGCTGACAGTGAAGGGAGCAGGCTGGCCTGGGAGGGCCAGTGTCTGTAAACCAAGCCACAGTTGTTTGTTTACGTCACTTAAAGAAAAATGGAGAGCTTGGTGGCACTGGACCCTGCATGCAGGGCCACCCACAGAGAGTCCGTCTCCTTCTGTATAGAACGTCCGTTCTGCATTCCGAGTTTGTCGAGCTCTCCGCTCTGGGATATCTGCACCGGTGGAGAACAGTCCAACACCCCAAGTCTACCTGGCTAAAATGCACATGGGTTTTTCCATGAAGGTAACTTCCTTTTAGGGCATGACTGAGGCTGTTATTAAATTGATTCTGTATTTCTCAGATCACACTGGCTATTGGAGGTGAGGAAGAAACCCCAAAGTGTTAGTGGAGAGCAGTGAGAAGTTAGCTTAGGGTCAACATTTGCCCTGAGTAACCTGAGTTACATGGATGTGCACACAAATACAGATCTGGGCTCTCTTTGTACAAATGTCAGCAAGGACCTCAGGGCTGGTGTCTGAAGTTTTGGCTCTCAGTTCGGGCTCCCTGAACTTTTTTTTTTTACACTTCACTAGGCCAAGACAGGAAGAAGCTCACTAGGTGACTAAAGAGAATGAATTCCCGGAAACGATTATGAAACCTTCCACGCATGAGCCTAAGAGAGAGAAAACAAACAAGCCTTTAGAGCTTTAAAGAGGAAAAGATTTGACCAGTTACTCAGACAAGAAGGGGCAAGGCAGGGTGGGCCATGCAGGTGGACCACTTTGCATTCACCTCCCAGCTTGCCTTTTCCCTGGTAATGTAACTACTTAATTTCTCTGGGCCTCAGTTTTCTCATCTGTAAAATGGGAATTATCACACCTACCTTACAGAAATGTTGCATCACGTGAGGTAAAGAATGTGAAAATACCCAGGGCAGTGCCTGCTGTGTAGAGGCACGTTAACAAGCAGTAGCAGAGTTAATGAGGAGAAGGGTTAGGAGAACTGGAGGGTGGTGCCTGAAGGAGCGCAGGAAATTTCACCGCAAAATATGACTCCTTGGTATAAAGCGTATTTTGAATTAAAGGCCTTTAGAGATCAACAGGCCTTGGAAGGGGCTTTCCCTCTTTCTTCATTAAAAAAAAACCAGACCCATCAAAAGGAACAATTGACTTCTCTAGAAGATGCTTAAGAATGCAACCAGACCTGGCCCAGGCCATTTTAAGATAATACCTGTGTCTCAGGTTAATTTAGTTTCTGAAGAGAATCATTTACAAGGCAATCTGTTTCCCCCATCCATTCGTTCTCCCAAGTATCTATGCATCCTCCCTAACAACCATTTATTGCCCCTCAACAGAATGGCCTACATTCCTCATCTCCCCTTCCCCTTTAAAATGAGGGTATATAAATTTCTGGACCCCACTGGGAAATTGGGTAATGACTCTGTGGTTCCTGGGCAGGGTAAATAAATCTCTTTCTCTTCTTAATGTGCCTTATTGTGAGTTGATCTTTCAGTGAACCCGCACATTCCCTAACCTGAGAATCTGCTTGATCATATGAAAATCGATGGCTTCTCTGTGTCCTGGATTAGAAATCCCCATGGAGACTTCCCTGATTCCAGCCTAGTGGTGGACGTTTCCCTGCCCCTCGTCTCAGTGGTGTGGGCACCGTGCTAGCTGGGGATAGAAGATGAGAAAACAAAAGCGCTGAGGCTACCAACTGATGGAGTCCGCCTCCTCTGCCTGTTTTGCCTCTGGCCCTTTAAGTCACCCCTCCTGTCCCACTCCCTGCAACAGTTAGCCCATAAAGGAGAGCTGTAAACACTTAGGGGATGCCCCACTTCCTTCCCTGCAACCTCTTACTCAGATCTTATCTCTGCCCCTCCAAACTCTTGTTCCCGAGACTCTGCTCAGGCCCTTTGAACTCTGTCTCCTCCCACTGGCAGATCTGGGCTTTCCCTATAACACCTTTACTCCTGGAACTGCTCCTGGCTCTAGCCACTTGGCCAATACCCTTGCTGGGCTGGTCCCCTCCTCCTCCCCTCCTTCCTTCAAGATGGGGTAGTCGGGACATTCTAGCTGCTAAATTCCAGATAGAAGGTACTAGAGCAGTTCAGAGGAAGGAGAGGTCCCTGAGAGGGGTGGTCAGGGAAGCGCTGGAGGAAGAGTAGGGTCTGATCCTTGCGATCAGAGTGGAGGCAGGTGGGTCATATGTGGCTTATGCTTAGTGCAGGGCTTGGCAGATTATGGCTCAAGGGCCCGATCCAGCCTGCCTCCTGTTTTTGCAAACAAAGTTTGTCGGAAAACAGCTACAGTTGTCTGTTTACGGATTGCGCCCTGCTGCTTTGTGCTACACGGGCAGAACTGAGCATGGCCACAGAAACTGTAGGACCCGCGAAACCTAAACTATCTACTCTCTGGCCCTTTAAAGAAAAGCCTGGCCCATCTCTGGTGTCGAGCATCAGGCTGCCCCCGACAGAGAGTGATCTGAGGAACTCCAGTCCCGTGAGATTGCTTCACTGAAACGGGACAGTCCAACATGCCTGGGAAACACAGAAGGCTCCCCCGCCCCCCGGCCCGGGGTTATTCGCAATAAGCCTTCGTATGTGAAAGGCTCTAAAATTCCTACACAGAAGCATCTGTTTGCTGTTTAGCCCAGCATGTCCCAAACTTCTTTAATCTACCAATCCTCCTTGTCCTCAGAACACCTCTTCCCACCTGAGAATCTAGCGTTAGGAACAGCCTGTGTTCCCTGTCCGTCCCTGCCACCAACGAGCCAAGTGACCTTGGCTGAGCCACACGCCTCTCAGGGCCTACTTCTCCATTGGTTGCATGGGACAACGGTGCCTGCCCTATCCTCCTTATAGGATTTTTTGGCAGGTCACTGTGAGAGTGGGGATGAAAACCATTCAGAGGGATGACTATGGTACCATTGATTTTTGACAATCAGTTTTGCTCCGCTACATTGCTTAGCAATGGTGAAGTGGAAAAGGCCCAAGACCAAGGTTGTGAGTTCTCTTTTCTAGTCCTCACTCTGCTATTACTAACTGGGTTAACTGAGTGACTTTAAGCAAGTGACTCCCCCCACCTCTGGGCCTCAGTTAACTCACTTCTAGACTGAGGATTTAGACTGAGGTCTAAAAATCTATTAGCTCTGAAATTCTATGATTCCACTTGGTTAGATGTGTACAACTTCCCTGCTTTTCCAGAATGACAGCCCTGAAGCCTGCATCTCCTTGATTTTCGTGGTACAGTGTCTTGGTTCAGGACCAGATATGAAGAGGTATTATTGAAGGATTTCTGACGCTGTTGATGGCTTAGAAGGTGGGGCTCAGCCCTTCTGGAAATGTCTACCTGACAATTCTCAACGTGATATTGGACCCTTTCTTTCCCTTCTGCCTCCACTGCTCAAATGCTGCTCCGTCCAAATATGGAGTCCAGACAGTGGCCAACACATCTGGCGAAAGGAAAGAGCAGATGTGATCCCTGAAAGGACAGTGGGGCCTGGGGCAGAGCAAGGTCCCCAACAGGCATGAGGTCACATGGTTATAAGGCAGAATCCACATAAAATTCCTCTCTTTTATCCCCTACCCCACCCCAAAAACCATTTTCCAGCTTCATGCACAGTCCTTGATATGAAAGATTTATAAACAGTCGAGTAAGAGGAACTTTATGAAGAAGATGAGAGCCTACTGAAAATACCCTTCTCCTAGGAAAATCCCAGAAAATCTTGACTAGGTCAAAAGGTCTACAGCATAGTGAGCATGGGGCCACATGGCGAGTGATGTTGCGAGGAACAGTGTTCCTCCATGTGGTCTGTATGTAGAAACCACCTGCCCAAAGGTCATCTAGAGAACTCCCAAATGCAGCGGCAGGTGCCCAGGCAGATTCAGAGCTCTTGCATGGGCAAAGTCCCCAGAGGTCACTGGGCCATACCCTCCCAGTCAGCCAATCAGCCACAGACACTTACTGGGGTCCTCCTGAGTTGGAAGTTCTCTGGGGACATAATAAGATGGATAAAACACAATTACTGTCCTAAAGAAGCTTAGAATCTACTTGAGCAGCAAGACCTTGTGCATGAATATAATGACATGTGAGCAGCAGGCTGAGTACTAACATGTCAAAGCGGGGTGCCCAGCAAGGGCTGCAAGTGGTGATAGACAATTTGTCATTTTCCACACTGATTAGAGGCCTCTTCTATTTTCAAACATTAGAAACGGAAATTCCACACTTTGCCTAGGTGACTTCTTCCAGGGTTTAATAAATGTTTTCCTGAAGGCTTCTTCAACTCCTACTGTCACCTTTGGCCATGGACAATGCTTGAGCGTCTTGGGCCCAAGCATGGTCAGCCGTTGCTTCCCCAGGTGGAGCTCCAGCGGCATCAGCTCCTCTTCATGCAGGTGGAGGAAGGATGCTGAGAAGAGCCTGGGCTCTTGGAGGTCTTTGGTCCTGGTCCTCCTTCCATGATGACTGAGCGGTTTATCTTTCCACTTCTTGGGGCCCCGGGTCCCTCTCTGGGACGGTCGGGCTGGCTTGGGCAGGAGGAGAGTCATCCTGGAGCATCTTCCTTTCCACGTGGGGCAGCTGGTCTGGCTGGGGGCTTGGCTGCAGGAAACGTGTCATCTGAATCAGGGTGACCCCTGGTGTGCTTTCTGCCTCCTGAGCTGCAGAGACACAGCAGGCTGTGAGGGTTCTGGGCGTGGATAGCACTGAATTTCATTCCCTGAGAACCACCCCCACCCACCACAAGTGTTTGAGAACTTCCCGACACAGAAGACAGCCCAGTGACTGGGCCCAGCCTTTGGGGCCCTGGGTCTGATAACCTTAGCCTCTTCCACTTGCTCCTAGAAAAATCTCACCCTTTCTTTACCAGGTCTAAACACCACAGAGCACTCACTTTAAGAGTACTTAAACCTGGGCACATGGCTATCAGGGAATTTCAACAGGGCCATAAAGAAGGGTGCAAATGCAAGGTGTGACCCCACGTCTGGGTCCCACACTCCTGCTCTCTCCTGCTGGATTGCTTACGTGGCTGCAACGCCTGTGGTTAGCATGTATCTTGTAACCCTTCAAAAGCTTCTCCTTAAACTTTGGGATGCCACTGAATCATAAGTACAGAGATGATCTTCCCATTTTATTGATTAAGAAACCAAGGCCAAGAGTGGTTAAATGGCTCAGACTAGAATATAGCCCTCCTACATTCAAAAGTCCTGAAATGACTTTACCCCCACCCAGATTTGAGGGTGTCAGGTGGGAAGAAGCGCTCCTCTCCCTAGCCTTGGGGCTACTTAAACTCAACTCACAGGTCCTCCTGCTCCGGAGCTTCCTTTGCAATAGAACCAGAGCCGCAAGCACGAACGGGGCCAGCATGGTAGAGACTGGAGTCGCGATGCGAGAGCTGCTCTTTTCTGGAAGAGCACTGGAGTGGGGACGGAAAGAGGACAGGAGAGAAGAGGCTGGAGCCAGATAGAAGACGGAGGGTCACTGGCCCACGCCCCCCCATCTTACAGGTGAAGAAGCTGAGGCCAAGGAGAGTTGGCTGCCCTGGTTCCCACAGCTGGTTAGTAGCAGAGCTGGGACTAGAACCACTGTCTTCAGGTTCCCAAGCCCGAATCCTTTCCCCTCCTCCACCTGCCTGAGTGTGGGCCCCACTGCATGCCGCAGTGAGAACGAGGACCAAGCGGGAGTTGGGGACGCCAGCTTCAGCATTTGTCTCTGCCACAATCTTTCTTTGTGGCTTCAGTGGGTCACCTCCCCTCTCTGGAGCTTCTGGTCTTCGTCTTAAAAAACAGAAAATCCTAACGTTCCAGCCTAAATAGTCTGTTGTTCTATTGTTTAGATTTCACTTGAAAACCACGTGAAAATATGCAGGGAGTATTCTCACAGCACGGCCCCTCAAGGGAGGGCAGGTGTCTGATGTGTATGTCACTGTCCTGCAGGTACAAGGGGAGAGGAGTGGGCAGAGGAGAGGCGCCTCCCTCTCATGTCAGGGGATGAGCCAGATGTGGGTTCCCGTCTGAGAGGGAGGACTGGGGGTTACCTCTTCACAGATGACTCTTTGCCGGGGGGTCTCAGGGGGCCTGCTGCAGGGGCCTGGCTCGGCGTTGCTTGGGGACCACTGTCTCCAGCCGCAGTGTCTAGGTCCCCTTCTGCGCTTGCCTCCGCAGATGCAGTCTCTATGCTGGTGGTTCCCAAGGTCCACACTCCTGCAGCTGGGCTTGTTCCTTCAATGGAGCCCAGGAATCGTTGCTTAGAAACTGGTGTTGCTTCTCGTGGTGTTTCCCGGGGCAGTTTTTCTGAGGCCAGAGCTGATGGCCTGCTGGTTCCTATGACCTTTCTGGCTGCATCCACAGATATCCTGGCCCTCTCTGTTTCCACCGTTGGCCTGTCGGCCTGGGTGGTTGTCATCTCCCTCCTGTCCTTGCTGACAATAGCCCTGTTTGTCATTGAGCTTCTCGTGCCCCACATCCAAACACCTTCTGTTGTGTTGGACATGCTGCTGGTTAGTGAAGCTGGACTCTCTGGAACGGGAGCTGTTGCCTCGACAGAAGCCTCCACCCAGACGCCTGTCCCTGGAGCTGCTGTCCCGGTCGTTCCTGGGGTTTGTCTTCCCTTAGCTGAAGCTGTGGCTGTGCTGGCTCCTGGAGTTGGGGCAACTCTGTCCCATTCTGTCCCCTGTCCTTCTGTGGTCTGGGTGGGTCCTGTGGTCCATCTGTTGTTGGCTGTTGGAGAGGCTGTTCCAAAGGATCTCAGGGCAAGCTCCCCAGAAGCTGGAGTGGCTGTGGGGAAGGTGCCGGAAGGACCTGTGTGAACAGCAGAGGGAGGCCACGTGGGAAGGCATCCAGGTTGCTTACTGGATTTGGCACAGGACGTTGGGTTTAAAATCTTTGCCAGATGGAATGCAACCTCACTAGGAGTTGCAGTCTTTGGCTGATATGTTGGATAAAATTAAAATTTGGGCCAGGTGAAATGGCTCACACCTGTAATCCCAGCAATTTGGGAATGTGAGGTGGGAGGATCATTTGAGCCCAGGAGTTCAAGGCTGTGGTGAGCTATGATGGTGCCACTGTACTCCAGCCTGGGTGACAGAGCAAGACCCCATCTCAGATAAAATAAAAAATAAAATAAAATACAATATGACAAATATCGGGAAACCCTGCTGTACTCGCTAGTCTGCTGCAGACATCGACATGTCATAGTCCCCTCTCCTTCTCCCACGCCTGCATGCTCTCTAGCCAGCTGTCCAGGATCCGCACGCTTCCCCTGGCCCCAGAGCCCCACGGCCCAGCAGGCACTGCTCTTCGAAAAAGAAAAAAAGAAACATTCCAGTTCCAGTAGAGCAGCTAATCGCAGCAGATGGTTGGAGAGCTGCATCGAACAAAGCAAACCCGCCCTCAGGCTGCCTCCTAGCACGACATCTCTTCTTAGAGTGGCCTCCCACAGCCTGGGTGCCCTGCCTGCACTCTGGCGGCCTGGCTCTGGGTCCGCTCTCTGGAACCTGCTGCACAGGACCTGGGCCTGGTAGCTGTCACATCCCTGCCGAGAGGCTCAGCAAGGGTCTGTATTAGGAAGAGGCCAGTTGCAGTTCTTCTGTCCTGCTTGTCACAGCCCCTCTGCAGTGCTACCGCTTGTCTGCATGTCTGAACATAGAGCCATCGGGACCCTAAGAAGCCAAATTAGCCGATTCACTACCTCCTTGGAACTATCTCCAAGTATGCATTCCACACACTGGCGGGGGGGATTACGTACATTCAGTTGGGAAGTTTATCCTAATATCTCCCTTCCTTCTGAAGGTAGCTTCCCTTTGACATGAAAGCCTACTTCTCAAAGTCTTTGCCTTGCCCCCAGCTGTTCATCATCCCTCCCCTAATGTTTAAAGCCCTCTTGGTTCTCTGAACCTTTCCCTGGCACCCTCCCCTTCCTAGCATTCTCTTCTCCCGGCGTGGCTCATCAGACGTCAGCTCATACCTGCAGAGACGGTCAGATTCATGCTGAAGAACAGTGTGGTGCTTCTGTCTCCAATGCCGCAGTGGTAGCACCCCACGTCATCCAGGGACAGCTGGGACAGCCGGACCACGAAGAAGCCTCTCTGTGGAAAGTCCGCTAGAGCCACACGGCCGTGATAGCGATGGTGAGTGTAGCGGTTGCTGGACACGATGGTGCGGCAGATCCACCTTGGGGGTCCCAGGCGGCACCAGTACTTCCTCTGGTGCCTGTTGACCGGGGAGGGGGCATAATGGCACCGGATGGTGACAGCTCCCCCGGGCTTCCCAGACACCAGCCTCGGGCCCTTCAATGCATTTGCAACTGCAGGCAGAGGAAAGAGTCTAAGAGAGGGAATGGGGAGTATAGTCACCATAACAAATTCCAAACTTTGCCAGAATTCGGGCTCAGGTTAGAAAATTCCACTGTGGAAGTAGAAAGAGTCAATGTGGAAATGGCGGAGCTTGGCCACTGGGGGAGTGGGAGTCTCCCCAGACATGGAATGGTGCTGTATCCAAGGCCCCACACGAAAGATGAAAATGCAGCAATAATCTTACTTGCTACTCAGCTAGCACTTAGCTAAATGTGCTAGGTGTTCTCACGCCAGTCCAGGCAGAGCCTGGGTTCATTCCACTGTGCTCCAATGCAGAGGTTTAAAAAAGATGTCACCCAAGCTCACGCAAAAGGGCTGAGGCTACATCTGATGGGAGGGCCCCGCTTTGCATGGAGCGTAAAGGAGAGATGCTAACAGTGAGAATGTATCGGTGTGTGCCTTTCCTCTGCAGAGGAGAGGGTGCCCTGAAACACCAGAATCCTGCCATGCTTGGTAGGGACATGTCTGGACTAGTGGCTGCAAAATTTTTCACACTGGCCACTTTCTGTAGAAACAGAAACAACCAAGTGCCACCGTAAAAGCACAGATGAGCAATATTGAGACTGTGTCTGCTTTGGCAAGAGGCACAGACCACTCACAGTGGAACCACAGCATGTGGCTAGCTTGCTAAACGACTTAAATTTGATAGGGTGCGAGCAGAAACACGTTTATTCTTTCTCTCGCTACCTCTTCATACTTCGTGGACTTCTCTGCTCCTTAATGAAATCTCAGGCATAAGCTTGCACATATTAAGAGTAGTTTCTCTTGGATAATAAAAAGCCCACTCTAGTCTAAAATTATGTACTCGTCACAGTCTGATGAAAGATTGCAACTCCAATCTCTTACACAATAGAAGCTTTTTCCCACCTCCCAGCTGGGCTTGGAGCCTGTCGTAGGGGAGGGGGACATGTTGGGGTCTTTTGCCGTGCTCTGTACCTTCCTCTGCTCAAAGCTGCTGTTTGGGGCCCCCCCAGGGTTAGGCATGGAGAGGAGAGAGGAGAGCGAATGAGACAGTTGTGATCTTCCCTTGATGTTTTCTGGGTATGGCAAAGGTCCAAACATGTCTCTTTTTTGCCTCCCAGATATATGTTTGGTGGCCTCTGGCTGCAATTCTGTCCTTGTGAGAACTGCCTGTCTTTCTTCAGGTCTTTGATGGCTACCACCAAGCCTGTGACTTCTGGCTATCTGCCCTTCCTTTTATGGTGACAGTACCCTCTGGGTGGCCCTCTTGGGGGAAGCCTGACATTTGGTCACAAGAAGCATACCTGTGTCCTGTTGTTGGGAGAAACCTGGGACCAGTGGTGAGCTTGTTGAGTGACTTTCCAGAAGTTCCTTCTCCCACTTGGCTTAAAGTGAAGGCAAAGCAATCCCTCCTGTCCCCTGGGACAGGTGGAGGGGAACACAACACACTGACATCTCTCCCCAAAACAGCTCTCACAGTGAGCTGTTCTGCCCTCTGGTGACTCTTCCCCTTCCCTCATTTGGCCTGGGCAGCTATGCGGTGGGCTATAGCTGGAACCAGCTTCACGATCCCTTTCTACAGTCCCGTAGAGGTGGTTCAACAGCTTGCTTTAGGATGTGGGTGCCTTGCACCTATCAATTTGTTCCATGTCTTTAGGGCCTCTGAGATGAAGCCCTAAAGACATAGGAAAGTTCCAGAAAGTTCAGCTTAATATCTTATTGCCAGGAACATCTAAATAATTTGTGGGTCCCAGTACAAAATTGAAATGCAGGACCTCTTATTCAAAAGGTATTAAGAATTTCAAGATGACATCAGCAGAGCATGAAGCCAAGCACCCTGTGACTGTGCGGTCCCGTGTGACTGAACAAGTCACATGCCCATGAAGCCTGTCCTGCCAATGACAAGTGTCTTAAGGTCTAATTATAGGAAAAGCAGAGGTCATAAAAGCTATGGACACATCAATACTCCTGGTGGGTTTAATTAAACAGCACACCCCAAGCCATGCCATTGATGATAAAGTTAAATGTAATTTATCATTGAAAGTGAAGAATATTCACAATTACAGATAAGGACCATCTCAGGACAGTGGTGATGCCCTGAATAAAGTGTTCACACCCCAGATTTCAGGGGTTCTTGTGATCTACATGTGGCACATTTGAGAAGAGCACTGTTTCATGAGTCAGCAGGATGGGGCGGTCTGACTTCGCAGTGGAAAGCTGCTTCAGAATCCTTAATCAACTCTTGTAATGCACGTATTTTTTTTATTAATATCAAAGTTAAGAACCAATATCTTAAGGGCATGTTTGTCAGGTTACTGATTGGTAGCTCTTCGTTATATGTAAGAATTAAGGTTTTTGGAATTTTATACAAACCACCAGTGAGCACTGAAGATGAGGCCAGCGTTTTAGGATCATTTTAGGGCTCACCTGGGGGCCCTGATGCCAATCTCTGCCCTTCTGTGGAAGTGGGTGGGTGTCCCTGGCTCTCGTCTCCTGCCATGGCTCCCACTAGGGAGGTGCGAGGGCTGCCTGCAGCGGAGGGGGGCTGGCTTGGTCTGAGTGAGTGCAAGAGGTCTGTGGCAGGGCCAAGGGAGGGTAGGGGCTGCACCTGCCAAGGAGCTCTCCCGCCAGCACAGGGGTGAGGAAGGTGTTTCAACGGCCCACAGGTGGGTTCCGGAGGGGAGAGAGCCATCCAGCAGTCGTCTGAGATGGGGTCCTCTGTGTGGAGGGGACAAAGAAGAACCTGCAGCAAAGGGAGGAGGTGGGTCATCAGGGGACTGTCCGAGTGTCCGCAACGACACCCACAAGAGGAAGAGGCAAAGAGCCAGCCCGAAACCCCTGCCAGGCCAGAGAGCTCCAGGCCATCCGCCGAGTGAGAGCTGCCTGCCCTCCTGCCTCTCCTCCCTCCCAGTGCCACAGCCCTGCTGAGGTCCCAAGCAGCAGCTTCCCAGATGGGGAGGAGGTGGGGAGGGGCTGAGAGAAGGCAGCAACCATATCCTTTCCTGGACTGCAGGCCTTGGGAGGAAGAGGGCGTATATCTTTGAATGGAGATTAAAGCGTTGACCAAAATATTTAACTGGGCACTTGAAATGATCAAATTGTCCAGGCACGGTGGCTCATGCCTGTGATTCCAGTACTTTGGGAGGCCGAGGTGGTAGGATCGCTTGAGGCTAGGACTCAAGACCAGCCTGGGCAATACAGTAAGATCCTATCTCTACAACAAATTAAAAAATTAGCCGGGTGTGGTGGTGCGTACCTGTAATCCCAGCTATTTGGGAGGCTGAGGTGGGAGGACTGCTTGAGCCCAGGATCTAGGCTGCAGTGAGCTTTGACGGTGCCACTGCATTCCAGCCTGGGTGACAGAGTGAAACCCTGTCTCCAAGTAAAAATAAAAATAATCAAATGTAGAACATTTGAGACTTAAAGCAATTCATTTAGGACTAATACCTATATATTAGTAGAAAAAACATGGGCCTGCCTGCGTTTTCATTTGGGGGCAGGGAAGCCTGCTCTTGATGAAAAATTTTAAAGGGGGTAGTGGGAGATTAAAATAAAGAGGTGGTGTGATTATATCACACTGAATGCTTATTCAAATATTGGCTACTTTTGATTCATTGAAACTCTGATTTATTTATAAGGCAGATAGAGTTGTTAGTCCTTTTTTGGTATTATCATGGCATTTTCATTCATTCATTCATTTATCCAATAATTATTTATTAAGCATCTACTTGGGACTAGGTTCTAGGTACTGGCCACTTTAGGTGCATACTCCCTATATTCCTCAATGGCTCCCCATTACCTTCGGAATAAATTCCAGCTACTGCAGCTTGGAGATGGGGCCATTTGTCATCTGAGCCTGGTCTATACCTGGCCAGCTCCACCACACCAGCCAGCAAGGAGCTTTAGGGCAGGGATCTTGTCTTTCATTTATCTGTCCCCAGTGCCTGGCACACAGCAAGCCCTTCATTAATGTATGTTGAATAAATAAGTAAATAAGTGAATGTAATTTTTACGGGCTCATATAGTTTCTTTGTAGACTCTGAACTCTTTAAGATTACAGCAGAGTCTTCATCTTTATGTCCCTGGTGCTGGGCCTGGCACTTGTTTGTAGAATGAGGGGTAAGGAAGCACTGCTCCTTCTGTCTTTTGCATGCCCTGGAACTCTTATCTTGAAAATGCAACTGACTTTCAGTTAACAACTTAAATGGAAGAGAGCAGAGACATGGGAATATCAAAACAGAGAATATTCTAGAAATCATCAAGTCAGGCACGTGCCCTCTCATGTGAGCTCTCACCTCCTTCATTCCCCTGGGCCCAGATCTGACTCCCTGGAGCCCCTGCATGGCCTTGGATCCCAGGAGAGACAGCCCTAGATATGCCCAGTCCACTGTGGAGCCCGCCAGGAATCTCTGCAGCCTGGAAGACTCAGGTCCGGTTTTGCAAGCTCTGAATGTGGGCTGGGTGTGGGACTCACCTCGTAGCAGGCACAGTATGAGAAGGAGGAGCATTTTCCATCCTGCCCTCTGGTTGGCAACCTGCAAAAAGCACTATACGTGAAAAGAGGCCTGACCGAAGCTGGAGTGAGTGACAGTGGGACTGGGTGGGCACCTTCTCACTCTGGGACTCCAGTTTGCTCAGCATGGGGGCTGGGTCGGATAAACCTGAGAGCAAGACAAGCACTGCCCTCCCTGAGGAAGCATGCCTCCCTCCTGGCACTCCTGAGCGTGCACACTGAGCTTGGGTCACTTCTGCCAAGGTTAAAAGGTCCCTTGCCCTGAGGTTCCTGTGCTCAGAAGAGGTGAAATTCCCTCTGTGGGATTCCAGCCCTGACATCCACTCGCCAGCCTGGAGCTTCGAATTTGTGGGGAGCACAGTGTAGCGGAGAGACCGCACGTTTGCAAGTCCAAACCTATTTGGAATTGTGGGACCTTGGAAAGTTAGTCTCAGGGATTCATTTCCTCTCCAGGGGAAGGAGGGAACTGGGATGGGGTTGCCGCTGCACAGCTTAAGTGGGATTGTGGTACAAGTGCCTGGCGACGTGCCTGGTGGTACAGGGCAGTCCCCTTCCCCCTTTCTCCTCCCCCCTTCCTCTTTGCAGGAGGGGCATTGAGTCCTCCCCGGGAAGCTTTTTGTTTCACTGTTACTGTGCCTCCCGTCGGTAACAAGGAGTTAAAAATTAAATCTCAGACCACGTAGATGTCTGCACTAGTGTCCTATTCTGTTTCTTCCCCACGACTTCTGGAAAACTCTGCCTGTCCCCAGTCCACACTGACCTTCCCCTTGCTCCAGTCTCTCCCACTGGCCTGGGGAGCTCCTTGAGGACAGGACTTTGTGTCTCATCCCTCCCCTCAGGCTCTGAAGCAGGCTCTAGCACATTGTAGACGTACAGTGCACAGCTGCTGTAAACAGAAACCCTCCTCCCTTTGAATGGATACCACACTGATCTCTACTCAATGGTCTTTTACTGATTGCTAACTAAAAAGACAGAGATTGTATATCATACTTCTTTTGTATTTCATTCCCCACAGGGGAATGCTTTTCGATTGATTAAAAATCTGTTCTTTTAATCTATTTACTGCCTGAAGTCCCTGGGACCTATAGATTTTTTTAAAAGAAAGCAAACTAAAGTTAGCCATTGTGTTTTCCTTCCTGTTCTACTACATACATCACTGATGTTAAGGACGGGCGTTAGCAGTCAGTGGTTGGGCCCCGGGGCAGGAACCCCCTTGCTCCCTAACTAGACTAAGCCTCGCAGAGCCACCGGCCAGTTTGGGATGTAGGCAGGAGGGAATCAAAGGAGGAGAAAAGGGAATGGAGGGAAAAAGAAGGCAGAGAAGGTAGGAGAAGGGGGAGAGAGAAGGAAGGGTAGGAGGTGAGAGAAAGTAGAGAGGACAGAGGAGAGGAAGGTCAAGAATCCGTGGGGTGGCCTTGTAGCTGTCAGTCGTCCCCGCAGCTTGGCTCTGCCCAGCCTCTGCCTGCTCTATCCAGTTCCCGCCCAAGAGTGGCCAGATTCTGAAAAGTCCACAGGCTTCTCACACCTTCTGGATCTTTCCTCTCGTGAGTCCCCTGTGGGCACTGCCATGGCCATCTCAGACCCCTCCCTGCCTTACTGAGCTTCTGGCTCCCTGCCCTCACCCGGAGGCTCTCCCAGGGTGTGATCTGTGCCTAATCTATAGTTCGATTAATGTTCACCAAGTCCAGGCTGGACTCTGGGGCTAGCACCCAGATTCCCAACGAGCCAATTTTTCTGAAGTGCTAAGTGCTAACACCCAGCACATACTGGGGCCAAAGTCTCGGCACATACTGCCCAGTACTTCGGAAGCCCAGTGGTGCAGCAATCTCTGGGCTTCAGGAGAAAGAGCCGCCTCCAGGGGCAATGAGGAAGCACAGAGTATGAGATAAAATGTCTTCAGAGAGTTATCGGCCTTGATTGGAGGCTGGAAGGACAACATTCAACGGAAGCTCTCCAAGTCACCCTCCCTTGCCAATGACCTTCAGAAATCCTTTCTCCAGGAGACAGGGAGCCCCACGTCAGTAGCCTGGGGGCCACCGGCCTCAGTTATGGTGCACTGCATTTTAGGGGATGCGGCCACTTGGGAGAACTCTCTTGTGCCTCTGGCCCCGCTGGGAAGGGCGTCCACCTCATCTTCAGCACAGGCTGGTGTATAATTTCCCAGATCCCTACCGCCCGTCCGAGCCCAACTTCTCTCCTACTCCCCATGTCCCCACCCCCATGCCCTGGGCAGCAGACAAGAAGGGAAGGGGTCAGTGTGGTTTAGAGGGAAGAGCACAGAACCAGGAGCCAGGAGGGTCGGCTTTGCCTGAGGCTGACACAATAACCTTGACCCATGCTCCTTTCCCCTCCGCTATAAAAGGAGAGCTTTGCCTGTGTGATCTCCATGTTTCTTCTCTTTCTGACGTTTACTGGTTCTACACTACCCAGGGCTTCTAAGGACCCATGCGCTGCAGTGGATGTGAGCAGAAGAGTAAAGAGCTGCGAAGGAGATGCTGCAGCCTGAACTCCAGGGTCCTTACCCGGCCTCCTGGGAAGGAGCCCACCGGCCCTGATAAGGGCACGTGGGGTCACGTTTGACGGCTGTCGCTGCAACTCACCACCCACACTCAGAAGCAGAGGCAAGACCCCAATCTCCAGAAGAAAGCCTCATCTCACCTTTTGTTCTTTGGGCTTTTGGGGGGCTTCTCCATCCATCTCAGTCTAGAAATCAGATCCACGTGGACTTTTCTTTTTATGCTTATGAGATGCTGGTGTTTAGATGTCTTCTTGGTGCTCTTCTTTAAACCTGGAGACTGAGAAGTCAGTATGGTATGTTGCAAAGCAGCTGGAGCCGGCACTAGAAATCGGGGTGCAAGGTATAGCTCCGCCACTTGCCTCAAGCCACTTCTCCCTGGGTTTGATTACTTACAGGAAGAAGCCAGTCCTCGTCCCTTGTCGTTCCTACTGTCACTTATTCCTGCAGAACTTTTCCAGGGGTGGTGATAGTAGCTTCAAGGAAAACACACGGATCCATATCCTCCCTCCTCTAATGCCCCCTCCAGTCCAGGGTCCCAGACTTTTTAGGATGCCCCAGCTTAGCCGGCCCATTCAGGCATCTTCCGGACAAGTGACGCAACAACCTGGGCAGGAAAGAAGGGAAACTTCAAAATTTAGAAGAGGAATTCCCCTGCCGTCTGGCTGGCAGCTGGTGCCTTTCCACTGACCTTGCCCCTCCAACTACCATGGAAAAGCAATTTGGGCGGTTTGGATCACTAACTTCTGTTCTACTGCATGGCCTGGTGGTTACTAATTCACATCCTAGACAAAGCACAATACCGTAAACGGGACGATCTTCACGGAAAGAGAATGCTGACAAGTGAGGATTATCCAAACCGATGACACACTTGAAAAATACCCCAGTATTTCCCTTTGGAAAATAGTTTACGGATGGGTTTTTTTCCTTGTAAAAGATCTGATCTTCCTACCCCTGTGGGCCTTAAGTTGACATTAAAATGGCTGGCACAGCCCAAGCACTCAACAGCTAAGGGGATCAAGGGAATGGGGGTGCAGCAGGCTGTAACTAAGGGTCCTCAGCAGGACCTCTGATAGACAATATGGCACCCTTGGGCCACTTAGAAAGGGCACCTCTTCCTAAGAATAGATTCTGCCGGTATGGTGTTGCACAATTTGAACAACCACAGATGGCAGCTGTGTATAGATGGCAGATGTATTCTCCTCACATTCCCCCTTCCAGGTTTGAAGACAGCCTAGGGGTAGGAACTGAGTCACTGAAAGCAACAGGAGAGAAAGAGAAACAGCTCTGTGAGATGCTTGGAGTTTGGTTGGGATGAGGCAGCCTGTGCATGCATGCGTGCTGGTAACTGCGTGCACAGCTAAATGTGCTGCTATTCCAGTAGTTGGTAAACAGCTTCAGTCCTGGAGCTCCAGATCTTCACCTTCACCTGGAGCCTCCCATATTAGTTAAAATATATCTACAATGTGAACAGCATCCCCTTAGACGTAGCACCCTTGAGCAGTGCACAACCTGAAGAACCGTACATGGTGGTTCTGCCCTCAGAGGTTCATCCCCAGAAGTGAGCGATCCTCGTGCGGGTGGTAGAGAGGTGGCTAATGCCTGGCTAGATTCTCCCCTCCCAGGTCCTCAGAGAGGAATATAGCATCGTGTTTGATCACATAGACTCTGGAGTCAGGCTGTCTTTCCGTTAAGTTAATATCCCCTGCTCTACTTTTTTACTGGGAAAGTAATAGGAGTCAGATTATCTCTTTAAACCTTGGTTTCCTAATCTGTTATACAGGAGATAATAGCACCTGCCTTATAAAGTTATTAAGTGGATTAAATGCAATAATCTATGTAACTCAAAGTGCCTACATGCTGTTAATTCTCAGTAAACATTAGCTAATAATATAATTAGCTTAGCTTATAGCAACAGGGAGCAGGTGTCTTGAATGATCAAACACTCAAAAAAAATATCCCTTTGAGTGTTTTTATCTATTCCAGTTTCTTTCTTTCTTTCTCTTTCTTTCTTCCCATCATTTTGACACCTGATGATTAAAAATAAATCATTTTGTCTAAGAACACTTCTGAATTAAATTTGTATTTTACAGTAAATATTTGTCAAATTTTCATCGTTTTATAAGTACAGCGGTCACTTGCATCCTTAAGGGTATGTTTTTCTATTTTTATCTACTTTTGAACACTTTGAAGACTTTTTCATACCTATAGACATAAGTTACGGCAAAGTACACTTAGTTGTAACACACTGGGGCCAGCTTCTGGAGCACTGACCCAGAGCCATGATGTCCCCTCTCTGAAGCTGTATGGGGAAGAAAAACTCCGTACTGGCTATTTCTCTTGGAGGTATAACTGAATTTTCGTGTCCAGCTCAAAGCCACAGGGGGCTCTTCTACATTGATTTTTGAATCACTGTAACCTGATTTTTGGCCCCAGACTGCACAATCAGGCTAAATAATATTTTGACCAAATGTCAAATCTGGGAAGAGCTTTATCCACTC